CCTCCGATTCAACCCTTCTCATATCACAACATCCGTGTTTCCTAATTGGGCCAAATATCACACCATTGAATCTCCATGCAAGAAAACCATAAAAAGAGACCATCCATACCTCACAAACTATAGCGTTTAATTGCCTAGCTTCAATGGCCCAAACCGTTACGAAGTGGAACCCTAGGCCCCAATGTTTATCTTAAATCTTAATAGGCCACAAATTTAAGCATAAGGGGCCCGAATGTATCTTAATGCATACGGACAATTAAACGCTAATCTTAATGGGCCTCAGACCCAAAAATTTCTCTTTACGTTTGACTAGTTTTCTTAGAAGATCTGACTAGTTAAATAATGGCGGCCCAAAACGTTCACTTAAAGGATCCCAATAGTAATCATGTCTGTAAGTTTATAATGATATATATATATATAGAATTAGTGTTTTTCGTTTTATTTTCAAAAAATTAGAAAGAAAAATTACAAAAAAAATTTTTAATTCATGCCTTAAAAATTAATTATTTTAGTCTTTTTCAATAGGTGTTCATTAAAATGACGTAGTTTTAGAAGGTAAGATAGATAAATATTATTCCATATATATATTATTTTTAATAAATTTAATTTAATTTTTTAATTTTTAAAATATAAATTTATAAATATTCTTTTTTGTTTTCATTTCAAGTGGGGGCTTGTGAAGGGGCCAGAGAATTTGGCGTGATCAAGGGTTCATCAACCCCTACAAAAGCCCCTATCTCATTTCTCACACTTTGATTCTAGTTTACATTTCTCTCTTTTCTCCAAAATCCTTTGGGTAGCCACTTCATTTCCATTAGCGTGGGCACTTCTTTTCTTGATTTATAGCTTCAAATATCAAGTAAAGCTATAGAGTTGGTCTAGGTATTTAGTGGTTTGAAATTATTTTTGATTTAGTTGCGCTTTGTTTGGCGAAGAAATGGTGGCATCTCTATTCGATCTATGGTGGGTTCATTGGTGAGTTTCTCGCAAAAATAAAACTCATTGTGTTGTGATTATTGTCCAAGATATTAAGAAGGTAAGAAGGGTTTACAGTGTTGGAACTTGAAAAAGAAGGGTAAATGTGGGGGTGAGCAAAAGTCGGGAATACCGTTTTGTCCCGTCGGTATGTATCAAATTTTAAGGTATTGGTACCGAGACTTATACCGACAAGAACAAGAGATCGGTACAAGAATGGTACCAGTTAGTATTTTAGAATGGAATTCGACTTCAGCTCAAAAGTATTGAATATTGAGTACCATACCAAGTACCGTTAATCATACATATGCATTGCGTAGCATTTGTCGTATATGATGGTATGAAATTATACA